CTGCCCGGCCCGGGGGCCTCCCCTCCCGCCGCCGCACCCTGCGTAGACCCCGCGCAGCCCTGGAGCACCTTTGTCTCCCCTGGGGGGGCTGCAGGCACCCCTGCGTGCACCCCTGTCTGCCCTGGGGACACTCCGTGCACCCCTGGGGACACCCTTGTCTTGACCGGGGAGACTCCATGGGCCCCTGGGCAAACACCAGCTCTTAGTTTCTTCTGGTCTCTGGGCGGCAGGGGAATAAAAGACCAAAGTCCCCGAAGAGGGGGGCAGGGAGGGAGCAGCAGTCTGCAAAGACCCGGAGCTCTAGACTTGCCCGGTGGATCCCTGCTCGGTTTGTGCGGCGCACAGCTGGCACCTGCAGAGGAAGCGCAGGATCCCCGGTGCAGCCCGAAGCCGACAGGGCTCTGGCGGTGGTTGCTGCCTGGAATCGTGTCCCTGGGTCGTTCGCTGGACACTGACCAGTGCCGCAGAGCGGCGCATGGGGAAAGAAAAGCCATGCACAGGGCTAGAGCCCGGCAGAGCGGGGCCCAGGGTGGGTTTGCATCTGCCTGGTGCACTCAAAGCTGCTCCTGATGTCAAACCCTCAGGTTTTTGGCCGCTGGAGCACGTCTGGGGGCAGAGCACGCAGGGCAGCCATGTAACAGGCTGGCAGGTACCCAGGAACAAATGGATTAACTGCCTAAGGGGAATGAACTGGTGGCCCCTAGACATTGTCCAGCTGTATCCCTGGCCCCAGTACAGTCATGCCCAGCGCCCCAGAGCCTGGCTTCATCAGCCCATCTCGGGGCACTTGACACAGCCAGCAAGCGCCATCGTTGCCATTGCCCCGGAGCAGGACACAGCCCAGCTGCAGCAAGGGGCCACGTTCTGCACTCAGGGCGGCCGGCGCGAGCGGGTGAAGTCAGGGAGCCGGGCTGCGTTCCCACTGGTGGAACCGAGGCTGATTGTGCCAGACCCCCAGCTCCCCGACCCCCACAGTGTGACTGGTCCTGTGCCTCTGCTCCTGGCACACCCAGCCCGTGCTGGGGCAGGATATCCTTGTTCTGACTGCTGGAGCCTGCAGAACACAGGGATTCAACATGTCCAGCACAGCAAACACCTGCAGAGCCAGGGACGACAACCGTGTGTGGCTGGGAACACGCAGCGCAGGGAGAGCCTGCAAAGATGCCTCTCCCCCAGCTCCACCGCAGCAGGGCTAGGGCACAGGCACACCCCGGTCCTTACAAAGGTGAAGACAGGGCAAGGTTCAGAGAAGCATAAGCTCTGACAGCAACAGCTGATACCACCCTGCCCTGCCTTCTGCCCACTGTAGACTGCCACAACTAAGTGCTGCCATCCTCATGGGCAAAGGGGAAGCTGTGCTACAGGTGTGGGAGCAGACGCCTCCCTGCTCCCCAGCCGCTGGGTCCTGGTGGGAAAGGGGCAGTGCAGCAGAGAGGGCACCCAGCCACATCAGGGTAGGGACCCAGCTCCGCGCCAACCAAGAGAGCCTGCTGCTTTCTGTACTGGTTTAATGTGTGCCAAAAGATCGGCCCGAAGCCCCCTGAAGCAAAGAGAGTCTTTCCAATGATTCTGGCAGGATGGAGACCCCCTGGAGCGGCTGCTGGTGTGACAAGGGGCACCGCTTCTCCATCTCTGACGGCTGAACGGTTGCTGGTCCCGGACATGGGGAAGGAGGGCAGAGCTGTGCAGGGCCCAGTGCACCCAGCCAGCCTTGCCCGGCTTGCAGACACTCCCAATACACTCCTTCTGCCTAGAGGCACCAACACCGCTACAGCCATGCGTGCCTACGCTCATCACAGCAAGCCCCTCATGTCCTGCGGCCCCAGGCTGTTGCAGGGAAACGCCTTGCCCACCCCCTCACAGTGCCTGCAGCTCCAACTTAGCGACTGTCATCCTGTGAACCTCATCGGGCCCGTCTGCAAGGCGCAGGGCTCGGGCCCAGGCAAAGAACTGGGCTAGCGGGTAGTCGCTGCTCAGGCCAGCCGCTCCGAAGGCCTGCAAGAAACCAGCAGGAAGGCGGGAGGTCAGGACCAGGCTGACAGGACCTGACAGCAATAGCAGTCAGAGAGGGGTGGCCAGTGGCATGGGGGAAGTGGGATGGCAAATGCTGGCGGCCCAGGGAGTCTAGGTGCCGGCACGTGGCTCTCAGCAGCAGAAGGTTCTGGCCCGGAGGCTGCAGATCCCAGACCAGGGGTAGTGCAGGGGAAGGCAGGGAGCGTGGATGTGTCTTGGGAGACAGTGAAGAACAGACCAGGCATGTCTGTGAGCTGAGGAGCCAGACCCGGCTTCAACCAGCTGCCTGCTTTACTCAGGCCGAGCTCTTAGGTGGGGAGGGGCTGAATGAGGAGCCGCTTTGCTCACCTGGATGGCACGGTCAGTGACATGCAGGGCCATGGCCGGAGCCACCAGCTTGATCATGGCAATGTCCAGAGCAGCTGCCTGTACACAGCCAGGAGAAAGCCCATTACTCTCCTCAGCCTGGCCTGCAGCCCTCCTCCACTGCCCAGTGCTAAATTCTGCACCCACCTCTCTGGCTAGACCACCTGCCCTGGGCAATCCTAGTCCCAGCCCTTGTCTGAGCCTAGATGGGTGCACTGTATCAACACTGCCATCGCAGCAGCACAGGGAGCAGACCCCCAGGCACATTAGCAGGGAGCCCCGCTGTGGTTCTGCTAAGGCATCCAACAAGGAAACCCACGGCCACAAGACTCACCAGGCCAGCTCCTCCCTGGAGATGAGACACCTCAGTGGGCCAGGCCGTTCCTTCAGGAAAGCCACTGCCACCCACCTTGTCAGCCACCGCCACCCACCTTGTTGCCAACTGTGTCCATGAGAAGGGCAGCCTTCAGGACCAGAAGCCGGGCCTGCTCAATCTCGGCTCGGGACGTGGCAATGTCTGCCAGGATCGTGCCCTGCTCTGCCAAGGGCTTCCCAAAAGCCACGCGGGACTTCACCTGTAATAAGCACACGGGACCGAGGCCCACCCTGAGCACGAGAGGCCCCAGTCACTACGCAAGACCAGACAGAGCAGAGCAGCTGCTGACAAGGCCTGGTGCAGCCCCCACTCCACCCCAGCCGCATCTGGGCTGAGAACGGGGGAAAGGAGCCTCCACCCAAGTGCTAGGGCTTTGGTTACCACGTAAGCCACGTGCCCCTGGTCAGCAAGCAGCAGGATAGTTTCCAACCTTCCCTAAGTCTCTCCTCAGCCCTGCAGCGGGGGCGTCTGGTGCAGAGGAGGGACTGCATGATGGAGACGCTGAGCAGGGAGCAGGGCTCAGGTACCCACCCCAGTGCCAACAGCAGGATGGACTTAACTGGCCTAAAGCATAAGGAGCATGTGGCGATGCTACAGCAGCTTCCATCTGGGAGCACCTGGGGACGGACCAACACGTGGAGGTGGTGGGGAATGGGAAGGGTTACTCCCTGGCGAGGAACAGGGAAGAAGCTGTGCAGAAGGCTTTGTCAGGGTGCACAAGCAGCTGTTCCCCCTCAGAAGGGCAGATCACAGAGAAGTGAGGATGCCCTGTGACACTCCCCGCACACGCCAGAGCGCAGACCTGCCCACGCTGGGACGCAGGAAGGCTGCGCTCCCACCGCTGCTGCAGAAGGGACCAGGTATGGGCAGAGGGACGGTGCTGGAGACACTCACGCGTTCCTTCATGAGAGCCAGCGCCCTCTCGGCAAAGCCGATCAGCCGCATGCAGTGGTGGATCCGTCCAGGCCCCAGTCTCCCCTGGGCAATTTCAAAGCCTCGGCCAGGTCCCAGCAGCATATTCTCCTTTGGCACGCGCACGTTTTCAAATAAGATCTCCCCATGGCCAGCTGCAGGGACGGGCACAGAGCAGGAGAAGCTGGGGGGCCGCTTGCTACCAGGCTTGGGATTTCCTCCTTATGCTTCCTCTCTGCCTGCCCCACGTAAGACGGGGGGGTGGATGTCATGGCTTGCATCTCATGGGGCTCATTTGAAGTCCATAGGGAAAACTCCCAACTGGCTTCACCGGGTTTTGCACTGGGCCTAAAGCAGGAGCCCCTGAAGGCCCAACATTGCTGGCAGCAGGGAGCCAGCCAGTAACGCTGCCCTCCCCAGTGAGCTCATAAACAGGGGGAACAACTGGGTTTTTCTAGTGCTTGAACAAAAATTGAAGCCCAAGGCAAAGGTCTGGGAGGGGCCTCCCAGGTCTGCTACCTGCTCCTGCCACCAGCCCCAGCCACTCACCTGATCTTCTGCATGCAGAGACTCCAAACAGAGAGAGTCAAATGCTGAGGTTGTTTTTCCTGTGGTTTCTCCCTGACAGGGGCAGGAAACATTACCTAAGGGCTCAAGAGCTGAGCAAACAGCGGGTAGGATTTCTGTGGGGGCTAAGCAGCGGTTTAGTAACAAAACACCGTCTACTTCTGTCACTGACACCTCTCAGTAACAGAAGCAAGGGTCTTGTGTTTGCTTTAGAAGGAAGTAGCAGGATAATACACTGGGTGCAGGATTATCCTGCCATTCCTGCCCTGCACAATACGCTTGGGAGACAAGTCCTGTCACACAAAGGCACAGAGAAGTCACACGATTTGCCCATGTGGAGTCAGCGGCCAAGCTGGAGAGAGGACCCTGGAGTCCTGTACATACTAGGGAGAAGGGAGGGGTGTGTGACTGCAGGCTGGAGCTGGGGTCTTTGCTGGTCTGCACTTCAGCTTCCCCCTCAGCATCACAGGGGAAAATAAGGCCCAGCTCCTAGAGGAACTGTGAGGCAAACCCAGGGAGGCTCAGGATAAAGGTGGCTATCACAGGCATCACAGCATGTACCCTGGCAAAACCAGAGCCAGGCACCTTTGTCCGCTGTGAGGGGGACTGCGTGATGCTCACACCCCATGGGTTTCTGCAGGTGCCTGTGGTGGCCCAGGCAGAGGAGGAGTGGAGGACTAGGATGCACGCGTACTCCCTGCCTCACCTGGGGGGTCGTCCAGGCCATACACGCTGAGAGGCCGGGTGACGGTGACACCTGGGGTGTCCATGGGAACCAAGAGCATGGACTGCTGCTTGTGGCGCGGGGCACCAGGATTCGTCTTTCCCATAAACACACAGAGCCGGCAGCGAGGGTCCAGCGCTCCTGCCGGAGGGAGAGAAAGCACAAGCCTGCCTAAAAGGTGCTGAAAACTTCAGAAGCCAAATAAAGCCTAGGGAGCTCCAGCCTCTTTACAGGAGGACTGCTGGGGCTGAATTGGGTGCCCCAGGGTCACATCCTGCCTTGGCCTGTCAGCTGAGCACGTGGACCCAGCCAGGCTGGCCACAGCTAACGTAAGACACGGTTACTGTTCTGGGTGTTTGAGGAGTTTCAGGCAAGTGGGGAGGAGATGGGATGAGAGGGGCTCTGAAGAGTCCTTTTCCTGATACGGGGGAGCTGGTGAGAAGCCACACGCTGAACAGTCCTCCCGAGGCCCAGAGAAACAGTCCAGTCTCCGAGACCTGTTCAGACCCGGGCTGCTCTGCTCCGACTGCCAGAGGTATTCACCAATGCTGGCTGCGTCTCCTGTGAACCCGCCTGACAGCACCTGGCTCCCAGCCACGCCAAGCCCCTCGTGGACGGCAACCACTTGTGGTCCCTGCTGCCCAGCAGAGAAAGCTCCGCAGGCCACATGCAGCTCCCTGTATTGTTTCGGTTGGGTCCCTCCACAAAGGCTTTCCTTCCTGCAGACCAGCAGGAAGCTGTGGGTTGCAGTGTGGGTGCTTCTTGGAGAGGTCCCTACCTCAAGCAGCTTGCAGCAGCCACGAGTTTACCCGAAGCAGAACAAAGTTGTTGTAACTCTGCAGCTGGGTTTAGCAGAGCATGTGCAGAGACCACACCCTGGGCCTGCCACAATGAGGCCATAGGGTGACCAAGGCGCAGGGCAAACCTAGCAGGGTCCTGCGCCTCAGCGGCTACCAGGCCAGCTTCATGCAATCAGGGGAGCCCCCAACCTGGGGAGGAAACCACAGGCCTTGAAGCAAACCTGAAATCCACCACTTGTGCCCGTTGAGAATGTAGAAACCCTCTTCTTCCACAACAGAGGACTCGATGTTAGTGGCATCAGACGAAGCGACCTAAGCAAAAATGTGGCGGGTTCAGACATGCACCAGCATCCTGCTCCAGGCCATGAGCTGCAGGAAGCCCTTTCCCACCCGTGTTGTGGAGGCACCTGAAGGGCTGGAAGCCTCAGACCCAGCAAAGGAAGGAAGCAAATTTGCCATGGAAGAGAATTGAGCCTCAGCAAATGAAAGCCCCCCTTCGCTTCTGAATGGGGCTGTCCACTTCGGGGGGGAGGGGAGGGGGTGTAATTCAGTTTAACTAGCCTATTTCCCATGGTCACCTCCAGTTAATCTGGATTAAACTTTCCTGAGCGTACCTATGTGGACAAGGCAGGCGCAGAGCTCTTGCAGTCCCGCAGCCACCATTGAAACTGCTTGCCAGGAGGTCACGACAGCCATCAATGGCCAGGGTGGGACCAGCCCCTGCCTGAACAGAGGGGCTTCCCTCCGTCCTGCCACAGCACTGACCTGTGGCTCCGTCATAGCAAAGCAGGAGCGGATCTCCCCATTCAGCAGAGGCTGCAGCCAGCGCTCCTTCTGCTCCTCTGTCCCATATCGCAGCAGCACCTCCATGTTACCAGTGTCAGGGGCTGAGCAGTTGAATATCTGCAGGGGAAAAGCCCAGCACTGGGGTCACATGTATGGGCACAGGAGCCTGCAGATCCACCCTGAAGCCCGCTGCCTGCAACGCCTGGACCGCCCCATCCAAGCACCAGGAGCTGCTGCCAGTTGGGCAGCAGGAGACTGATGCAAGCTCCAACCAGACTGAACTTCCAGCCAGAGCACCAGGCAGCCCCCAGGCCAGCATTACTTCCCCTCCTTATGCAGCATGGACAGATGAGGAGGGAGCCAGGCCACGTTCTGGCCAGCACAGGCTCCTCCAAGCAGCATGAATGTTCTTAGCCAGGAGGCTGGGAGGACTCCTTGCAGGAGACACCAACCAGGAGTTCCTCGGCCAGGTCGAGGGCTAGGGACACTCCCTGCTAGAGGCAGGTACCTCAGGTGCGTGCAGAGACATCCCCATGAGCTCGCACAAGTGGGCATACTCCAGGTTGGTTAGGCCTGCTCCGTATCTCACTTCTGGGTCAGTCTCCAGGGGTAAAAACAGGTTCCACAGCCCTTCGGACTTGGCCTTTACCTGAAAGAATAAATCAGGATGACACGAGGCATGGTTCCCCTCCGGACCCCCTGGCCCTTCAGAACACCCTCCGGGCAGGAAGGAAGGGTGTGCTTTGGGCACGGGCAGAGCTCAGGGCAGAGTGCTGCCCTTCCCATTCATCAAGAGACAAGCATCACACAAAGCAGCATGGCCACAAATGGGGCTCATCCTGCCACCAGCCCACAGAAGCCTTCATGCCTGGACTTGGCCTGGGATCAGGGTCAAGCTGGGTCTTTTCTGTCATAACAAAGACCCTGCCACCAGAGTGCAGCTAATGGGGAGAACCCAGCTCCCAGCTCCCCCTCTGTTAGCTGCACAACCAAGATCTGGTCAGGACACAGGGCAGCGTTGGCTCAGAGACGGCTTGGGGACAGACACAGGCAGTGAGCACATTATCCTAGAGAGCTGTACTTTGAGACGTCGCTGCTCAAAGCAGGAGCATCACTGACCTTCAGTTCTTCCACGAGAGGGTGCAGAGTCCACCTTGTCTGCGACACCTGGTGGTCCCTCAGGGCCTGCTCGGCAGGATAGACATGGGCATCCATGAATCTCCTCAGTCTGCGATAAAGATCCTCTGCCCTGCCAGAAAGGCCCTCAGGAGAGAGAATCAGATGGGCTGGAACTGAAGAGGAATGGGGCACAGTGACATAGCTCCTCCTGGGGAATGGCCCCTGCCAGGCCCAGGTGCTGTAAGGTCTCCCCAATGGCTTCGTAGCCGGCATGGCTTTAAACACCCGGAACCCTTCCTTCGTGGCGAAATCCCAGGCGAGGTCGGCCATGGACTCAGCCTGCTTCCCGCCACTCTCCGCCGTGGCTGAGCTTGCCTGCCCTGTGTGAAGCAAGCAAAAGCATCGTCCTCTGCTCGGAGATCCACAGTGCAGAGCAAGGCAGCGGTGCCCAGACCAGAACCAGCCCTACAGAGTCCAAAAGGGACAAGACAAGAATACTGCCTTCCCTCAGACAAAACACCAGGCGCCTGGGCCTCCTGACAGGCTCCCACCAGCTCCCCACAGGAACAAGGCCTGAGCAGCCCAGGGAACAACCTGGGACAACCAAGACCCTTGAGGTTTAGCAACGTGCACAGTTCCTGCTCCACCGACAAATCACACCCTTTGCAAGGGCAGCTCCCTACTGCTTGGGGTCACCCCATGGGAAATGCTGCTGGGAGGGATAATGTCCCTGCCTCCCCATCTCACCTACAGGCCAACCTTGCTGCCTAAACTGAGTCCCCCCAATTCAAGTGTGGTCTTCCCTCCAACTGGGGAAAGTCTGGCCAGGGCCAGGAGGGCAAACCCCTGCTCCCATGACAGGGGTCCATGCAGAGCAGTCGGCATCTGGTTTATATTCCAGGTGCCAGGCCAGGCTCAGCCTGAGTGAAAACCTATCCCCACATGACTCTCTCAGCAGCAAGGCTCCCAGAGGGATATGGTGGAAAGGAGGGACTAGAATCCAGCTCTCCACTCCTGCTCTGGACCTGAGTTTGCCTCTCAAGCCTCCTGCCTTTGTCTCCAGATGCCAGAGCTGCTCAAAGTTCGGCATGGTGCCCTCTCGTGGCAAAACCCTGCTGCACAAGCTACTGTGCTGATGCCGGAGCCCAGCGGCCTCACCAGTGAGCGAGCGCTTGTAGACGCCCTGCAGGATGGCAGCCACTCTGAAGAAGGAGAAGGCCATGTAGAAGTTCCAGTTCTCGATGGGCGGGATGCCCATGTGGCCGCAGTACATACGGAAGTACTCCTCTGCCGTGGGGATTCCCAAGTGTGTCAAATCGCAGTTACCCAGACCTGAAAGAGGAATAGGGTGGCACCGTGACTCAGCCACGGAGCGGGGCTGTAAGGCTGAGCTTCCGCTCTAAAATCCCAAAATTTGGGGCATTTTTCCCCCTTGGAGGGTAGAAAACTACACACCCCAGGCCCAGACCAGCTCTGGGGAGCCAGCTTATGCCTATGCTGCTAACAGCACGTTCAGAAGGGGTTGGACGGGTCTCTCCAGGGACTTGGAACAGAGAGAGAGCAGAGGATGAGAAGGAAGAGTCCTTTCCCCCATTTCCAGCCACGTGCTGTGGACACCAGCCTGTCCATTCCTGCTTCCCAGGTCTGCGTTTGAAGAGGGCAAGAGATGTGATCTGTGCCCAGCACTGTACCTTTGAGCAGGCTGAAGCTAGATGGCAAATAGTGAGCCATGCAGCTATAGGCCACATCTGAGATGGGGTCTCCCAAGGTGGAAAGCTCCCAGTCAAGGACAGCAAGGACTTGTGGCCTCTCTGGGTGAAAGATCAGGTTATCCAGCCTGGACCGGAAAGACAAGGAGCCAGGGAAAAGTTGTTGCAGGAAAAAAAGCCCCACTCACTAGGGAGAGCTGCATTCCCCATAAACAGGTGTCCAGGAGCTCTGTGCAGTTGGGAGCTGTTCCCAATCACCCCTCCACCCTTGGCAAGTGACGGGCAGAAGAGGTGCTGTCTGTTAATGATTTGGGTCCCTGCATCACTGTTTGTTGGGCTTTGCGCAGTTCCCTTCTCAGCACGGAGCTGAAAGAGCTCCTGGGATCTGGGGACTGCTGCTCACGTGCAAAGAACCCATTCAGGCTGGTTCTGTTTAGCAACTGAATGGGAAGCCGTAAAGCCCGAGCACAGATGAGCATCAGTCTGCCACACGTATCAGCCCTGCCCCACCAGCCCCGCCTGTCAGGTCCTGACAAGACAGGTGAATGGCAGCTGTCCGGTCAGGGGCAATGGGAGGATAGGAAGGGACAGTAAGACGGTGGCATCTTCTGCCCGTATTACCCACAGGAGCTCCAGCAGAGGGCACCAGTGCCCACGCCGGCAATAAGACAAGTCAGGATTTTGCTCCATGCCCAACGTAGTAACTTCTAATGACAGAAGCCAATTGCACCATGAGCTTCCTGCTTTCTGGTGTCATGCCCCCAAGGGTGGTGACCTCATGTGTCACATGGGCCATGGGCAAGCTCATGCCCTGGGTCACACCAGGCTGCATCCAAACACCAATCTGTTCTATCTGTCAATAATTCATGTGATGTCTCGTCATCCCCAACTACAGGAAATGGAGCAGGAACTAGCTTCCAACCCCCAGCCTCAGGTCTCTGTTCAGCTGCTGCCACCAGCCAGAGAGAGACCCCAGTGTGTGGATCAAAAAGCAAAGTGGGGACAAGACCCCTGGGGTCTAGACTTCCAGCTCCTGCCTCGAGCTGCTGAAGTCCACTGCCCTCCAGACGGGCTAATGGGGAGGAACACTCATGGCTCTGAGCTGACAGCAACTTCTTTGTGCTCTGCAATGTTGGGTTGCAGAGATGTCTCTGTCTCCAGAGCACTACACCTCTTGATGGCCCAAGGAAGCCATGGCAGATGCAGGCTCCCAGGTGCTGAACATGCACAGGTCCATATGTACAACAGGCCTTGGAGCTGCCACATTACACACACACTGTCCTGCCCTGCTAACACCTGGGTGCTTGCTTCCAGCTTGTACCTGAACTTAAAACTATGAATAGGACAAACTAATAACTATATTATAGCAATGTATTTGTTAAAAGTTAATAATCAGATTTCATGTTTCAGATACATAGAGATGTCAGGGAGGAAGTTTTCTGATCCTTCACATACAGCGCTGCACAATTAACAAGGTTCATAATAGATTTTCCCTAAAGTATCAGGTGTAATTGGATGCACAAGTAAAGTAGATCTTGATAGATCTTTGC